AACTTAAAACAGGCAGGTTCAGTACAGGTGGGAGGGAAGATAAAGACCTGTGCTCAAGAACTCAGATATTCTTACCTGTTCTTCTCTCTTCTTGCCAGTGTGCCAGTCTCACCTGATCCAAACTTCAGCAATAGGACAGAGGAAACTCAGTTACAGCTTTGGTGATTGGAGCTGAATAATATACAGAGGGCCACAGGTACCCTAGTCCTGAGCTCTAAGGCCAATCAAAATTTGGAGTGATAGGCTTGTTGTTGTTGTTGCTTCCAAGTTATAACAACCTTATGAATGAGTGATCTCCAGAATGTCCTGTCCTCAAACTGCCCTGCTCAATTCTTTTAGACCCAAGCCTGTGGCTTTCTTTAGTAAGTCAATCCATCTCATATTTAGTCTTCCTCTTTTTCTACTGCCTTCCACTTTTCCCAGGATTATTGTCTTTTCTAGAGAATCCTGCCTTCTCACGATGTGCCCAAAGTAGGACAGCCTCAGTTCTGACATTTTTGCACATATAATTCAGGCTTGATTTGGTCGAGCGATAAGCTTAAATTGATAGATCTACTGAAGGTGGTGAGAGGAAAATGATCTACCTCCCCCTCCTCCTTTCAGCCTCAGGCTGTTCTCAGATTCACTTCTGAAGGCCTAGAGACAGCCTCACCACTACCTGGTCTGTAGCTCAGGGTACTCATTTTATCAACCTTGACCTGGCTACCTGGGATTGTACCTGGGTCATCAGCAGAGTTTTGGCTGCAGTACTGCAGTTTAACCATTGTGCCAGGAGGCTTCTCACGCACAGACGATCTCTCTTCCTTATGTTTGGTGGACTGTGTGTTGGGAGCAGGGTTAGAAGATGGTGGAAACAGAACTTTGGACCTATGCTTTCTGCCAGTGTGCCTTCATGGTTGTATGAATTCTCTTTGTCAGTTTCTTTCTGAGCAGAAATCAAACCTAGGAAGAATGAATAAGAAATGAGTAGATACTAAGCTCTTTGCTCAGAATGCTTTAAAAAAAAAGAAAGAAAGAAAGTAGGTTTGGGGGCTATTTTAAAAAAAGAGCTTGAAAATGGGAATGAAAGTTTCAGGATTACACTGTTGGCTAATGTAGCACAATACCTTTAGGGAAAAAAACAGCTTGATTCTATATCTGCCTGAGCAACATTATGTAATACAAAAAAAAAAAATACAATTTCTGCCATTCTTGCATTAAAAGGGGTGTTGCTGCAGACTGTGATTAGTGTCATTGATGTCAGTGAATGCTATTTGTGGCTTGCATACATGAGCCTAATTTAAAGGAGTGATCATTCTGTCGCAGAGTATTGAATTTTGGATAAACCCCTATAGCTGTGCAGCAAAAGTGCAGACTTACAGAGCAAAAATAGCTTCAAGTCTCCCCAGAGTAAACCACCTCTTACTGTCTCATCAACTGGGACTTATAGTTCCAATAACTAACTCTGAGACATTGGTAAGAGAAAAATGAAATGTCTAATTTACTCACAATTAAATGGATTAAAAATTATACTATACAAAAATGACTATACTGTACAAATATTATAGCAACAGGCCTCAACAGACTCCCAGTCTGCTTTCACAAGACTCCTGCAGATTAACAGCCAGCAGACAAAATGAAGAAGGGAAAAGACACTTCAGCAGAGAGGCTTGGCTCTCGTCAAAATCAGAGGCATGGAAAGAACAATTGGTTACTGCTGGACTGATCTGTCACAGTTACATTTCCCAGCCAAACTTACTAAAAGCAGAATATGAGGTTGAAATATCTCCAATATATTTGCAAGTTCAGAGCATCTGTTTTTGCCTTAATCTCATGCTCTCAGGTTGCGACTACATCGACAAATAATTCAATATTTCCTCTACGATTAGCATGAGAAAAATACATTCAAAGTATTTAACAATGATTACAGAATGATGTGAATCCTTTTTGCTCCTGATTTGTTTTTGTTTTTTGTTTTGTTTTTCCTGTGCCTCTGGGAACATCTACTTATCAAAACCAGAATGATTTGAATGGTGTTTTCCTGTTTGATTTATTTAATTTATTATTTATTTATTTGATTTTTATACCACCCATCTGGAGACATCCACTCTGGGCGGTTTACAATCAAACACGAATAGGATTAAAATAGGTGGGAGGAGGCACTCTGCCAGGTATCAAGGCCCTAAACCATTTAGGGCTTTATATGTAATTGCAAGAACCTTTAATCCAATGCAGAAATGCATGGGTAACCAGTGTAAGGTGGCCAGAGTGGGGGAAATATGATGGAATCTTTTCACCCCAGTTAGCAACCTAGTCACCGTGGTTTTGTTTTAAATAAGGATGGTGTGTATGTTTGTGTGACTCTAGGTCATAGGTTGGAAAATAGGGGTAATTTACCCCAAATTGGGTAAAAGTGAAAATCCTGGGGGTAATGAGCAGAATGCTACACCCCTCCCTCACACCCCTACCCTCTGCAGGCAAAGGTCAAATTGTAAGCGACCTCTCCCTGTTACTTGCTGGTTGCAGCAGGCACTTGTAACTCCTCCGTTTGTGGGAGATAAGCCTGCTTAATTGGCTACAGCTGTGGAATAGCCCCAAGCAGTCAATCAATCTGGGGCTTTGAATGACTGCTTCCTCCAGAAAGGAATGCAAGCAAGCAGGAGGTGGGGAAAGGATCAAGGAGCAAACAAGGGAGGGAAGAAAGGTGCGGGAGACGCAGGACTTCATCAAGCTTATTTATATGTACAAAATGGAGGGATGAAATGGAGGGAGGGAGGGTGGATGGATGGATGGGTGTGTGTGTGTGTGTGTGTGTGTGTGTGTGTGTGTGTGTGCGTGTGTGCGAGAGAGAGAGAGAGAGAGAGACTGAACAGGCAAGCAAAAGAAACTTTGAATTAAGGTGGGGGGGAAGGGTGGCTTTTCAAGGTGCTAAGTTTATCATTGCTTTCCTTCCAAGAAGCAGGCATCTTTGAATTTCGTGGCTGCAGTGATCATGGAGCCCAAGAAAGTAAAATCTGTCACTGCCTCCATATCTTCCCCTTCTATTTTCCAGGAAGTGATGGGACCAGTGGCCATGATCTTAGTTTTTTTATCTTGAGTTTCAGACCATTTTTTGCACTCTCCTCTTTCACTCTTGTTAAGAGGTTCTTTAAGTCCTCCTCATTTTCTGCCATGCTTTTGCGTAGTCAATGAAGCAGAAGTAGATGTTTTTTTGAAACTCTCTGGCTTTCTCCATAATCCAGCACATGTTAGCAATTTGGTCCCTAGTTCCTCTGCCGAAATCCAGCTTGTACTTCCGGGAGTTCTTGGTCCACAGACTGCTGAAGCCTGCCTTGGAGGATTTTGAACATAACCTTGCTAGAGTGTGAAATGAGTGCAATTGTACGGTAGTTGGAGCATTCTATGGCACTGCCCTTCTTTGGGATTGGGATGTAGACTGAAATTTTGAATTCAAATACTGTATCATTTCCTTCCTTTCAAATCAAGGGGGGTAATGTCGGCTTATATAATTTTTTTGGGGGGGGGGTAAAAGATAAATAAGTTCCCTGATCCCTGCTCTAGATGATGTTGATATATTAAGGTGGGGAATGATGGTTTGGAACAATAGGGACCGCCACCCCCACCATATTTCTCCCTAGTTGCTGGTGATTGCCCGGTGGGTGGTATCAAAAGGGCTGTGGACCCATATCAGATCTCACTGAATTGCAGGCCAGTGTGGAGACTGGCACCAAAACAAACAAGGCTCCTAAGCAGAATACAGCCTTAAAAAAGACTGTGAATCAAGCTGTAGCAAAGCCAAACTACTTTAATTTGTCTTGTTTGTGTAGTGATACCTCAGTCTACAGGACTTTCTCAAGGGAGGCCAGGCTAGCCCCTTCTTTGATGTCCTTCTGCTAACCTGCAAAGAGCATTTAGTTCCAGCAGGCTTTTGCTAAGTCATTGAAAGGAATGTTAATGGTGTCATTCTCTTACCTTTTAAAAAATGTCTTTAAACGGTCTTATATGATTATATGAAAAAAAAAATCTGCACAAGAACCCTACGCAGGAAATATTTTTAAATTTTAAATATTCCCTCACAAAACACAGATGCCTTTCTCTCTATATATATTTCCTCAAACTATGAATTTCTAATGGTATTACCATTCAAGAGATGTTTTTGCATTCATTGTAGTAGTGGTTCTCGACTGACTAAAAGGTCTGGTTTTACAGAGAAGGACATTTCCACATTTACAAATACTTTGTTATTATATTTACCACTTGCAAGAAGTGAGTGGTTAGGGAAAATGGAGGATTAAGCAAAGTTGTGCAAAAGTTATCAGGCAGAAAGATAAGAAAACTTTTAAGAAGATAAAAATGTTATGGCACCTTAAAGATTAATGATTATATTTTAATTTAAGCTTTTGTGGAACTTCAGACAAATGAATTATCTTTTTTTTTTTGCCTGATATGCTTGCATTGACTAACATAACTATCTCTTCTACAACTGCAAAATTTAGTTTCAGCCAGTGGTTTCCCTCAACCATTTCTGGAGAATCCAATAATTTTCCGCTTAGAAAGTATTTGTCTTGTCACTGGGCCCTTGGGCAGTTCATATTCGCTCATCCACAAATGTTCTGATGAAAAATGCTGTGTCATTACATAGCATCATTTTGAGGGCAGAATCATTGACAAATGTTTGTGTGGGAAGGGTGCATTTGTATTTAGCCCCAATTCTCAAATGTGTTTATGTTTCTTCCAGGCCTGTTTTTATCCACTGCACATAGGATTATAGATTATTTGGGTCCCCAAAGTGTGTTGCTCCTACTCTAAAGATAAAAAACATGGGCTTTTATTGCAGTGCTATCACACAAGTTGCTCAAAAGACACCACAACAAATAGGGGATCTACAACTAAATTACCAAGCAACCAAGCAATTAGAATTTTTAAAATCCCTGCATGGTGCTACTGACTAAAAATTTTTACAATGTATCTCTCGGAGCCAACATGCTGAATGTAAATATTTTTGGTTTTGTTCATTGCAGTGGCTGCAGGAGGAGAACGGAAATCAAAGTTGTGCCGCTAGAGAACAGCAGCATCTCTTCTGTCCCTGAGGAGCTGGATATGGTCAATATGTTGAAAGAATGGTACAGATAGAATCCTGAGCCAGAAGTCTCCAGAAGACCACAGAGCAGACTGCTGCAGAAAACATCTTAGCAGAAGCCGGTGTAATAGCTGAGAAGTGTCTTGTTTATTTTTTGAAGTTTTATGTTATTTATATGCTTCCTTTTTCCTCATAGGGGACCTAAGATGGCTCACAACAGTTAAAACTATACAATGTGACAAACCTGTTGTGAGGAACTTCTTGTGCCAAATTCTAAGAAGTAACTCATAGGATGCACCAATTCTGTGCCAAAATATGGCAGAAAGACCACCTCCATCCTGGCTTCATGGAACCTTTAGAGGACATACCAGTCAGGAAGATACAGAAAAGCTTTATTATAAGTGTTCAGACAATCCCCCTCTCTAAAGCATGCATGAAGCGAGGGGAAAGGATCACGCAGGCGAGCCCCATTTCACCATGAATGTGTATGGTGGCCGTGAAGCATGCATGAAGCGAGGGGAAAGGATCATGCAAGCGAGCCCCATTTCACCATGTATGGTGGCCATATTCAATGTAAATCATCTATTTGGCTGGTACATGAAGAGGTTTTACAAGCATACAAATGTAAATACATTGTACTCCTCTGTACAAGGGAGGACCAATGAGAGCCCTGGGTCATGTTCCAACAGCTCTACATTGCCCAGGGACCATGGGACTTGACGTTCAATGATCTGGAGTTGCAGCCCAATGTTCAGATTAGGAAAATCTGGCCTAAAATCTTAAACTGTAGTAAAGAAATGATGCTTAATGGTTTGTCATTTAAACAAGGAAATTGGATTTTGTGTATGTTGATATCTTTGTAGTATTAAAGATGGCTTCTCTTACAAAACACAAGACAAAAGGGATGAGTGTGTCTGTGGGGCTCACAGGGTTTGAGAAGGGTTGCCTAGCTATATATGGTGAATATGTATATTTATGAGCAAAAAGGGAAACAGTTGTACGTGCAGCCTTTGAAAATCATGCTCTAGGGATCTGGAATGAGTGAGGTCTCAAAATCTGAGTCTCAAAATTTCCACCTGTTTTGGAGGGTTTTTGATTGCTAGATTATGCACAGTACAACAAACAATGAGTTACATTGTCCAGCTGCTCACATCAACCTTGGTCCATGGCACACTGGCAAATATCCCCAAATTGATGGATAGCTTTTGAAACAAAGGAGACATTTCATGAATCAAATGTACTCTGAAACAGTCAAGCTGAATGTTAAGTTATGCATCAGGTACTAAAGGATGCTACCATTTGCATTTAACCACGTGCATTATGTCAACAAATTAAATCCAGACATTAGACAATTGATAGCCAACATGATGACCTCCAGTTATTTTGTGCAACTACTCTCTTACTCTCAGGTATACTGGCTAAGGCACATAGAAGTTGTAGTCCAAACACTGTGGAAGTTTGCCTTCTTTTGGTTTAAAATTTTCCACAGGCAACTTTAACCTCTTTAGTACAACCCAATTTGTCAATGCACATAATATTTAATATATAATAGGCAGAAGATAAAGGTTGCTCTGATATAGGCATTAAGTCAGGCTGCAAACACATGACAAAAATACTCATCCAAATGAAAACCGTAAAGAGCATAAGATTATATCATTCTAATATTTATTTAATTTATTCAGAAAACTCTCTGATTCGACCTCCATTTTCACTTAGTGAGACCACCTGACAGGTGGCAATAAGTGAAAAACGGTAACATTTAAAATGTTTTAAAAATGATAGGGACAACAGATGGGGCAATTAACACTGGATAACTACTTAAGGCTTAACAAAGTAAAAGTGTTTCTACACTTTGCCAGTAGGCTGTCAAGGAAGGGGCTAATGAGGTTTTCTCTTAACAGATTGCCATAGTTGGAACATAGCTTGCTTTCTTTTGTGCTAGTCAAGCAAACCTTAGGTTTGAATGGAACATGGAGCAAGGCCTCAGAAGACAAATGTAAGGCATGAAGAATGTCTTTCATTAGCCACGTGTCTTCAGGAGCAAAACATGGAATGATGCATTCATCCTCAAGTTGAATTTGTCTTGATCTACTAAACAGTTACTGCTGTGATGACACAGCTTGCCACTTGTTTCCAAATTGCTTGAAGATGATAATTTTACTCAAGTTTGTGTGTATTATGGTCTAAGTAGGAGGACGTGGGACATCGCCACAAATTTTGGAGTGACATGTCTTCTCTGCAAAGATTAAGGATCTCTTATGGTACATTTTACTCAATTTTTGTATAATGCAAGCTGTTAATTTCCTTCACTTCTGCACCATGAATAATCAAGCAAACAGTGGGGCTACAACCCTGAGCTAATGCAACACTCCCAGTTCTGTTCCCAGTGAGTCGGTATTATACCTGATGAACACATCTGAGTATTTCTTGTAGTGACACAGAAGAAATCTAACTGCATATGGCCCCATAGAGGTATTGTTCCAAAATATGTAGAAAACCTGTGTGATTCGAGGTTGACACATGCACCATTTCCTTTGCTATGGAAACTTTTTCTCAACTTGTGCTTTCAAAGATGGATGAGAAATGGCAAATGTCTTCTGTTCAGTGATTAATTTTTATTTATTTATTTATTTATTTATTTATTTATTTATTTATTTATTTATTTATTTATTTATTTATTTATTTATTTATTTATTAATATGGTGAGGAATTTCTGGGTGCTCTTTACTGACATCTTACTGCTGTTTTAGGACCCCCAAATTTTCCAGCCTTTTCACTAGAAAAACATCAAAATGAACCCTTGTAGAAACCCCCTTTTTTCTGCCCTGATTTTTTCTACCCCTCTCCACCCCAGGTCAAATCTTGACTCACTGTGTTAAAGTGCACCTGCTTCAGCAACAGACTGGTTCCCAAGCTCTACTGTGAAATGGACATGCCATAATTAAATGGAACCACAAGGCTCAATGCAATAACGTGACTGCCCTGGAGCAGAGATGCTGTGGCATTCCGTTTCACTCTATTTCTGAGAGAATAATAGGCAGCAGACAAATTTTGACAATGGTGATTAAGGATAAGTGACATGACTTGGTGACACATTGCCTGTGGGGCACAGAGATGAGGGAGGGGTTGCATGCAAACTCAGAACTTGATGGCTGATCAAGCAGGATGGTTGTTGTTGACAGAACTGGAGAGAAATTAGGGAAGGGAAGATTTGGCAGGGATAAAAATGAGGAACAATAATGGGATGCTAGACAACAGTGGGGACTGTGATCAGCTACAATTCTCTTAGAATGACTTTTATGTTGGATACATAAATGCCCAGAGGATTACCCTCCTTGGGTCAATTATTCACAAAATTATTGGTTTATCCCAATCTCTCTGAAATGCTTGCTGCTTGTGCTGAATTAACAATCTAGATATAAAGAAATGTTTTCTACCGAGTCATTCCATCTAACTGACAATAGACTAACAAGGGCTTACGTGCAGACAGGTTTCCTTGGTCTGTAATCAATACGCTTTAAATGGAGATCACCAAGTCTAGGCTAAGTCTGTACCATGGGCAACATGCAGCTATAAAATCCAGCCCTCCCAAAAAGTATAGGCAAACAAACAATCCTTCTCCTTGATAAATACAACAAAAAAGAGCTTCACTCCCTCTAAACCACCAACCTCCATAAATGTTAACATCCAAACTCATTCAGATGTTTCATTTCTGATTATTATTTTTTAAACAGGGAAAACATGCTCATATTAAGAATAACTATTAACAGACATGCTTCCACATGTGAGGTGCAGCATGCCATTAACCTGGACACCCAATGTGTGGCAACAAAAGGTTCAAATCAAAGCCTACAGCAAATGGTCCGGGCACTTATGTGAAGCACCACCTATACATATTGCAATGTGCGAAACAAGACCACTTTTATTACCTTAAAAGTAACTTTCCAAGTTCTAGACTTGGAGTGGGAAATGGATTCCCCCCCCCCCAAATTATCTTTTTGTGATAATTTGGTGAAATGAATGGCTTGGTCTGTAATAGGTTGTACCCATTATGGCTGTGTGAGCCTTGATTCAATATGGAGGCCAGTTAGTGGCTTCAGAATGAATACCAGGATGTTCTGGGCTGAAATGTGCCCTGGATCACAACTGATTTTCAAAGTATCCAGTTGGTTTGCATTGGAAAAATCAACACAGGCATAATTTTTGCATTGATGTACATGAAATTTAAAGACAACGTAGACCCTAAGTAGGAAGTAAGCCAGCCAGATCTCAAATACCTTTACTTAAAAAAAAAAGAAAACAAAAAGTAAGTTGAAGCTGTGTCCCATCTAACTCGCCTTGTGCTCCAGAAAGTCAAGACCCCACTGTACTTAAAAAAAAAAAAAAGTCAGTTGAAGCTGTGTGCCATCTAACTCACCTTGTGCTCCAGACCAGCATCATTTGTAAATATGTTTTGCTTCACCTCATAACTGAATCTGACCATTCTGCTTCAACTTACTATTGCTTACTATAGTATGTGTCTCTGAACAAACAGGCTAATACAAATTGCTCCAAATCAGGGCAATGTGGTTAGTAGTTCAGACCTTCCCTGAAACTGATACAGAATCCAATTATACTTGGAGATAAAATATGGATCCACACAACAGCTGGCATTTTTGGATTCTTCTTGGGGTCTTGGCTATGACGGATGTTTGTTTCACTTCAAAAGTTCCACTTTACCACTAAGTATGCACACCCGGGTGACAGATATGGAAGATGTGAACTTTATGTGATAATTGTATAGTTCCACTTTACCACTAAGTATGCACACCTGGGTGATATTTGTAGTTACGGAATGACAGGTCAACCTTGCTCTCAATCCCTTCCATAGGATACTATGTTGGTAAGGGTCAAACTAGACAATATGCTTAGCATGTATTTAAAAGCAGTGTTTTTTTCATGTGGTGAAAGACATCTGTTTGCCATGTCACATACTTTCCCTCATTTCTGCGTCTTGTGTTCCAACATGCTTTCTTTAGTGATTAGTTACTGGAAGGCAAACATGGTCTTCCTTAGGAACATTGCTTACTATAGTATGTGTCTCTGAAGAAAAAGGCTAATCACAGAAAATAGAGATTTCTCTCATTTGATCCTTGGAAGGAAACACACCGAGTAGTGTACTGCCAACTCGTCTTCTGGGTGAGAGTTTGACCACCGAAAATGTATAATATGAATTACAAAATTAATTCTGGTTCACTTTAACTAAAATCTCCCACTCAGAGGAATAGCCTCTTGAGTTGTTTTCTGCCTCTAGCACTGGTGTTTCTATACCTAGTATTTTCAAAAGGAAGATGCCAAAGTAAATTGTGTTTCCTAGCCACTTATGTAATGTGATAACTGGCAAAAGGGGAAGAATGTGTAGCTGCTCTTGACAAGCAGTTAGCTTTGCGGCTTGAGACTTGATTAGCATCAGCTATAACATTTCATTACTTAATCACTGGTTCTTAATCTTTG